CGAAATTCACCTTCCATAGACATAACACGCAAATGACGAAAATTCTGACATGTGGCCTTTAATTGAATTTTGTACTATGATGACCTCATTAAAATGAAACTTAGTGAAAAGTGATCTTGTAGAGAATTGCCTTATCTACAACATATCGTCATTTCAAAGAGAATCGATGAATATTGAGAGAAATACACTACATTTTCCATAAATACAATGACGTCATAATATGCAATTTTGTATTTTTGACTTCCAAGGCCATTATGATGACGTTAAGATGTACTTAATGGCCAAATGAGATATGAAATCATACCTCCGACTCATACTCTATCTAAATATGAAAAAAAAATTGGCAATCCCTATTCATCCCAATGGACTTTTTATAGGCATGTTTTTGCCCATATATGCAATGTATTACAAAAATCGCGCGTACGGACGGTTATCTTGAACGGACGCTCATTCCGTTTTTAATAGTGATAAAGAGCTAAACATTGTATCAAATTTTCCGGAAAAATATGAGGAATATTCGGTCAAAAGCTTTTGCGGAGAAATTATTTTTCGTTCGGCCGTGACGAACGAAAACGTGCAAAAATGCGTGTTTTGCGTGATTTTTTATGAAATGCTTATAATGGCCTGAAACGTATGCAAAAAAAATTTAAGACGATTTTGAGCAATTTAAAATTTTACGCGCGCATTAACGCGCGCGCCTACGCGTACGCGCATTTTTGCGCGCATTTATTGAACTCAAATTAACCCGACGGATATTGATCTTATTCATGATAAATATGAATGAAAAATAACTTTCCGTTATGAAGATATGATCACTAGTTGATTTTCACAAAATGGCGCCTGGATGACGTCACGATAACTTTGAGTCTTTGAAAAGTCACGCAGTTCTAAGTTAGACTAAGATCTATCATCATTGAAAGATTCATGACAATGGCTTTATTCAGTCTTGAGATATCCTGCGAACAAATTCGAGGAAGAATAAAAAGAAATAATAATAAAGAAAATCTTGACGAAATCAAAAGGTGATACGTAGACTTCGTTACGTATCACCTAATGATTCCGTCAAAATTTGCAATTTCAACTTTCGATTGAAAATTCCGACATGATCCCAACATCCGATGAAAAAACAAAGTACACCGTTTTGATAGCCCATGGTCTCAGCTATAACATACCCCAATTTGGGAGAAAACAGAGCACACATAAGATAGATAGTGCTCATAGATGAATGCCATGTAGATTCATGATGTGAACGAAATTCACCTTCCATAGACATAACACGCAAATGACGAAAATTCTGACATGTGGCCTTTAATTGAATTTTGTACTATGATGACCTCATTAAAATGAAACTTAGTGAAAAGTGATCTTGTAGAGAATTGCCTTATCTACAACATATCGTCATTTCAAAGAGAATCGATGAATATTGAGAGAAATACACTACATTTTCCATAAATACAATGACGTCATAATATGCAATTTTGTATTTTTGACTTCCAAGGCCATTATGATGACGTTAAGATGTACTTAATGGCCAAATGAGATATGAAATCATACCTCCGACTCATACTCTATCTAAATATGAAGAAAAAAATTGGCAATCCCTATTCATCCCAATGGACTTTTTATAGGCATGTTTTTGCCCATATATGCAATGTATTACAAAAATCGCGCGTACGGACGGTTATCTTGAACGGACGCTCATTCCGTTTTTAATAGTGATAAAGAGCTAAACATTGTATCAAATTTTCCGGAAAAATATGAGGAATATTCGGTCAAAAGCTTTTGCGGAGAAATTATTTTTCGTTCGGCCGTGACGAACGAAAACGTGCAAAAATGCGTGTTTTGCGTGATTTTTTATGAAATGCTTATAATGGCCTGAAACGTATGCAAAAAAAATTTAAGACGATTTTGAGCAATTTAAAATTTTACGCGCGCATTAACGCGCGCGCCTACGCGTACGCGCATTTTTGCGCGCATTTATTGAACTCAAATTAACCCGACGGATATTGATCTTATTCATGATAAATATGAATGAAAAATAACTTTCCGTTATGAAGATATGATCACTAGTTGATTTTCACAAAATGGCGCCTGGATGACGTCACGATAACTTTGAGTCTTTGAAAAGTCACGCAGTTCTAAGTTAGACTAAGATCTATCATCATTGAAAGATTCATGACAATGGCTTTATTCAGTCTTGAGATATCCTGCGAACAAATTCGAGGAAGAATAAAAAGAAATAATAATAAAGAAAATCTTGACGAAATCAAAAGGTGATACGTAGACTTCGTTACGTATCACCTAATGATTCCGTCAAAATTTGCAATTTCAACTTTCGATTGAAAATTCCGACATGATCCCAACATCCGATGAAAAAACAAAGTACACCGTTTTGATAGCCCATGGTCTCAGCTATAACATACCCCAATTTGGGAGAAAACAGAGCACACATAAGATAGATAGTGCTCATAGATGAATGCCATGTAGATTCATGATGTGAACGAAATTCACCTTCCATAGACATAACACGCAAATGACGAAAATTCTGACATGTGGCCTTTAATTGAATTTTGTACTATGATGACCTCATTAAAATGAAACTTAGTGAAAAGTGATCTTGTAGAGAATTGCCTTATCTACAACATATCGTCATTTCAAAGAGAATCGATGAATATTGAGAGAAATACACTACATTTTCCATAAATACAATGACGTCATAATATGCAATTTTGTATTTTTGACTTCCAAGGCCATTATGATGACGTTAAGATGTACTTAATGGCCAAATGAGATATGAAATCATACCTCCGACTCATACTCTATCTAAATATGAAAAAAAAATTGGCAATCCCTATTCATCCCAATGGACTTTTTATAGGCATGTTTTTGCCCATATATGCAATGTATTACAAAAATCGCGCGTACGGACGGTTATCTTGAACGGACGCTCATTCCGTTTTTAATAGTGATAAAGAGCTAAACATTGTATCAAATTTTCCGGAAAAATATGAGGAATATTCGGTCAAAAGCTTTTGCGGAGAAATTATTTTTCGTTCGGCCGTGACGAACGAAAACGTGCAAAAATGCGTGTTTTGCGTGATTTTTTATGAAATGCTTATAATGGCCTGAAACGTATGCAAAAAAAATTTAAGACGATTTTGAGCAATTTAAAATTTTACGCGCGCATTAACGCGCGCGCCTACGCGTACGCGCATTTTTGCGCGCATTTATTGAACTCAAATTAACCCGACGGATATTGATCTTATTCATGATAAATATGAATGAAAAATAACTTTCCGTTATGAAGATATGATCACTAGTTGATTTTCACAAAATGGCGCCTGGATGACGTCACGATAACTTTGAGTCTTTGAAAAGTCACGCAGTTCTAAGTTAGACTAAGATCTATCATCATTGAAAGATTCATGACAATGGCTTTATTCAGTCTTGAGATATCCTGCGAACAAATTCGAGGAAGAATAAAAAGAAATAATAACTAGAAATTTAATTCGTCACGAAGACGAATAAGGTGGTCTGTCTAAGTCTCATGATAGATTTGAGAATGGGAGAAGTTATATAGACATGTAAACAATGATGATCATGATGAACATGATGATGATCATGATGGTGACATTGATGATAATGATGATGATATTGATGATGATGATGACGATGATGAGTATGAGCATGATCCTGCCATCTGATTGAAAAAAATGAGGAAATATTTAGATAGCAAATAGTCTCAGCTACAACATACTAAAATTTGGGAGAAAACTGTTGAATAAGAACCGAGATACTGGTCAAAACACATTGTCATGCAGATTCATGTTTTGAAAAAAGTGACCTCCCATAGACATAACACGCAAATATGACAAATTATGCATTGTCGCCTTTAATCGAATATTATACTATGATGACGTCATCTAAATGATAATATATGACATTTTTCTGATAGAAAATTATCTCAGCTACAACATATCAAAATCTGGGAGAAGATCGATGACCGATAAGTGAGATAATTTCAATTAAACAAAGACAAAAATTACGTCATCAACAAAATACATTTGTTTGAGTTTAGATGCCAATATGATGACTTTATTTCACTTTGTACGAGTCAAGGTGGTATGAAATCATATCTCCAACTCATGCTTTTTCCAACCATGATATAAAAAATGGGGGTCAATGGACTATCTGAAAAGCTATATCGATTTTTAAAATGGCATGTTTTTGATGAAATTTGCATTATATTGCCCATAGCAGCACGCGCGAATTTTGAACTTTGACGCACGCTCACGGCCTTATGAAATATGAAGAGTGACTGAAATTAATGTAAATTGTAAAATTACATTAAGAGGAATCCAAATCATGTAAACATTTTGAATTTGACCTTTTTCGCGCGCTGTGAGCGCGCACACCGCGCGCGGGGACACAAACGGACGGAAAATGTTGAAATGCTTAAAATGACCTGATTCGTACTCTCGTTTAATAGTTAAGTGATTTTGAGCAATTTAAAATTTTGACGCGCACATACGCGCGCGTCATGACCTTTATGTGACCTTTGATGACATGACCTGTTGACCCTGGACCTAAAGTATATGTGATATGAATATGAATGACCTTTGCTGATGCATCATGAAGATATGATGGATAACGTGATTTCAAAAAATGGCGCCTGGATGACGTCACGATAACCTAATGACCTTGAAAATGTTCCTGTCACGTCTCATTACAATGACCTATAATTGTGCCGAAATTTAATGAAATTAACTAAACCAAACTTGAGTTATCCGGGCCACAAAAAACGGGGAGAAATAAAAATAAAGAATAATAATAATAATAATAATAATAATAATAATAAAGAAAATTCTGACGAAATCAATAGGTGGTCTGTTGATAACAGACCACCTAATAATAATAATAATAATAATAAAGAAAATTCTGACGAAATCAATAGGTGGTCTGTTGATAACAGACCACCTAACTAGATTTATTGGAAACAGAGGTCATCCCTACATATTATAGTTACCATGAAGCTGTTAAGATTGCTTTTTAATATTAGTAGTAAAATGAGAAGAATAAACAAGTAAATTTCTTAATTTTGTTGATAATTAAACATTTTCATTTATCATGTCTTCATTCTTGCAAAAACCAATATGAATATTATTCCTTCTTAAAAGGGTTGTCAATATTTTGTTGGCTTACCGTACACTTATCAATGATATCATCTGCCATGGACATCACATTGAAAGCAGGTTGTAAAGTTGGTAAAAACCCTTTTCTTAAGGTGATGAGTTAAAGGATTTATGTGTTGTCACTCCTTGCCTTTCAAACCTTAGTATCTTTAAACATCACTCACATCATGACATGTACATGTATTTCGAACTTATAGATCATATTTGAGAAATCTAAAACAATGGTGCACATTTAGAATACTGGATTGATAGGTGGATGGATAACAAGATCATACATCCATGCTTTTTCTTCCCAGATTAAAGATTGTCGACCTGATCCGTATATTGAAGTTGGAACATTCCATGAACCTTGCAAAGTGCTCATTTTTTGACTGGGTTGGAGTAGGAGACAAGGTACGTCACGGTGGAAACCATCACTCTGAAGAAGACACTCAAATCAGAGATCAAGCTTGAACGTGACAATGAGACATGCAAGTATTTAAGTAAAGAAGAGGTTGATATCATATTATATATGGAATATCAAAATGGGAAGGTTAATGATAATGAAAGAATACTAATATCGGGACGCAATGTTGGAATGTTATTCGCTGAAAGATGATTGTTTGGTAGTGATAATGCGTTTTAGTTGAGTAGGTTATTCACTATGATGTAAGTTGTTTGAGTTAATGAAAATTGGAGGGTTATACAGAGATGCCAACCAGTACGATTAAATCATATTTAGTATGATAATAAGAGTGAAATACGATCTTAAAATACAATTTTTCATCTTTTTTCCCCCCAAAAAACAAACACGGAATCGCATAGAAACATGTACAAGTAAACCCCTGCAACCCCAACAAAAACTGTGCTTTACAATTTTCTCATTAAATTTTAATAAAAGAGCAAGCAAACATATTTCTGAAATTCTACTGGCCCTGGGCTATTTTGAGCAACCCCTGACTGCAGGGGGGGGGGGGCTGTCGATATTTGAAAATGCAAAGGTTAATTTGCATAAATTTTGAATATGCAAATTTCATTTTATTTTCTTTAATATGAATTATATTGTTTTTTATTTCTTATTTTTTCTAGAGGGCTTAAAGCCAGAACTGTCTATGTCCATTTTTTGTGAAATTCAGTTATGTCCACCAAAGAACTGTATATTCATTTCACTTTGTGTCTATTCAGAACTGTCTATTCCCATGTGTCCATTAGCCATTTTACTTTGATGTTCAGACTGTTTCAAGTACATTCATCAAGAATTGCGCAATACTTGCAGTTTTCTACTCATTAAGCAGATAAGATTCCCTATGCAGCTATTTCACTGATTGTGGCCAAGCAACACCATACCATTGCCCGGAAAAAACGTTATGATAAATAAAAAAGACCAATGTGCAACATGTACGAAGTATGACCAGTTGTCTGGAGATCAGAAGGAGAATTTCACGGAAACCCATCTCGTACAAAAAACAGAGGCTCAAGATGCCAAAGCAGTTCCTTGCATCGTGTAAGACAGAAAATCGTTGTGAATAAGATGGAGTGCAAAAGAGGACATGCTTACAACAAGAAATATGCTGATAAATTTGACTTCGGTGCATCATCAGGAAAGAGCAAACATCATGCAACTTGCAAGGAATGTCGCCGAGATTTGTCAATTTTGCATGGCGGTTGTAATGACATTGTTGTTCATTGCAAATCAAAGCAACACATCACTGCTTTCAAGTCTGAATCGTCAGCACGAGAAATAACATCATGGATGTCAACCTCCAAGGATTTTAATATAACTAGAGCTGAGTGCTTATTTACATCATTTTATTTGGAGCACAATATTCCTCTATCAGCTGCAAGTCACATGGGACCATTGTTGAAAAAAGCCTTTCCTAATTCTGAGGAGGTTATGAAGTTTACCAGTGCAAGGACCAAACATCTTGTCTTGTGCGTGAAATGGCCAAAGATAAACAAGGACAGATCGTTTCAGCCATGAAAGCACGGCCAATTGCAATATCAACTGATGGGAGTAATGTCAGCGACAGTAAACCATACCAAATTGTGGCATGCCTCGGAAAGTGTCAGTGCTTGGTTGCCCCAATCATCTAATTGATTCTGCTGCCAAAGATGCGTCATCTGCATTACCATATTCAATTGACTCGCTCCTTATTGATGTGTTCTACTATCTGGAAGCCAGCGTGAACAGGAAATTGAATCTCAAGAAGTTCCAGATGCTCATTGGGAACGAAGTGCAGGCAGTTCTGAAACATGCTTGTACGAGATGGCTGAGCTTGGGCCAATGCTTGCCAAGATTTATCCAACAATGGCAAGCTCTAGTCCTCTTTTTTGAAGGAGAAGTGTCAGCCGAGCAGAAGACGCCTACTCAACAGACAAAGCAGAAGAAGCCTACTCAACAGACCAAGGCTACCAAGAATAGTGTCCAAACTTCACTTGTTCCAAAGAAGCCAACTCCAGCTGTGAAAAATGAACCTGCTCAGGGATCTCAACTGAAGGTAAGGCTAGAAAATGTATTACTACAAGGCATCTACTCCTTTTTATTCCATTTAAATATGGCCATCATTAAAATTACCAGATTTGAATAGATTAACCCTAGCAGTAGAGAGCTTTCTTAATGTTTGAATTAATCAGCTTTTACTCCTCAAATTGGCAACAGTTATTATCATTTTACACTCTAAAATTATTAAAAAAAATACGAAAATGGATATTACATGAACCAAAATGGTAATTGCAAAATTTAATTTAATGTGTAATTAAATTTCATGCTTATAAATAAGTCATCAATAGTGTTGCAGGCATCGCATTAATTTTTTAAGCTTGTCTTGTCCTGCAGAAAAAGCCTGCTCACCAAACCAAGATGACTGCACAACTCCAAGCATTCTGCATTCCCAAGAAGGTGTCTGCAGATCCACCACATGTGAGCAAACCTGCCCAGTCTCAGACCCAAGTGAGTACAAAAATTGATCATAATTCGTCGCTGTTTTCACGAAGTGACGGTAGTGAAATAAAATTGCATACAGTTTGCGTGACGATTTTCCTCACTACCGTCACTTCGTGAAAATAGGGACGATATATACAGGGTGACAGTTAAATATGTTCCTTTACATCATTTATTTTTTCTTCTTATTTTTAGGTCATTTACTTGTAAGCTCTTTCTCTTCCAATCATCTTCACTCCGCTGTTCAGTTTACAGATATAAAAATGTATTCAATAATGCTAGTCATCTGCCAAGATTTCAAATGTAGTGTATCTTTTTAATTGTAAACTGTGTCAGTAGTCTTGTTTCTTTCTCATATGGTAATCAATAATTTCTCTACCTCCCAGGTTCAACTTCAAACACCACAGCCACAACACAGTAGACCTGCATCTTCAAGCTCTACTACTCGGGAAAAACGACAAATGAGGAAGCTTCGGATACACCTAGCAAAAAGCAGAAGACTGGGAAAGTTGTTGGCAAGGCAACAGGCTCAACAGTGCTCAAGACTGGAACTTCCAGTCATCCCAGTATGATTTCTAGTAAAATGACTGGAAATGAAAAAACAAGATGTGGAGGAAAAAAAGAAACAAGACAGACAGTAAGAGATAAAACAAGACAGGAAAGAATTCTGAATTCATTGCACTCAAACCCAATATCAGCCACAGCATCATTGCATTTCACAAGAAAAATGTCATCTTTCAGACGAGAAGTCCTCTGATACAAAAGCTAAAAGGAATACTAGAAAGTCTACTGCGTGACTTGTACAGCCAATTTGTAGCTCCACAAGCAATCATTGCAGCCACAGACTTGACCCTTCTGGACTACAAGAACAAGGAGAATCTTTGTGAAGAATCTGAAATGGTCATAAAAAGCGCAACAAGAGAAATTGTGAACACTTTAGATGAGTCTGATTGCCATAAGTTCTATGCAGCAGTGCATTCATATTACACCAAGGCATGTGACTACATTGTAAGTAAGTTTCTATTGAAGTCTGATGTTCTCATCCATGTGCAAGTGGCTGACATTGCATATCAGAAGGATGCCAAATTCACTTCTCTAAAGTTCTTCATCAACAAGTTCCCCTGCATGTTGCTTCAGGAAGAAGAAGAAGACAAGCACAGTGCCCTAGATGCTCTGGAGAACCAGTTCCTTATCTATCAAATTGCTCAGCTTCCAGACTTAGTGCAAAATGAGGAATCTACTGACAAGCAGTGGACAAGTATGATGACAGAAAAGAATGTTTCTGGTGAACTGTGCTATGACAGACTTGCAAAAGGGATTCTAACCATACCCCATACCAATGCTGAATGTAAAAGGGTCTTCAGTCAGGTGCGAAAGAACAAAACTGACTTCAGAGGGTCCATGAGCAACGAAACTCTAAAAAGTGTCCTTATTACTAAGGCTCGCCAAACAACACCCTGCTACATGAGGGAATTTGACTCTGATTTTCCAAAGAAAGCTCGTGATGTGCGCTACGCGCACATGATATTCAGTTTTACTTAAATGTTACTAATTGAAAATTCCAAAGTGTTGGCAGCTATGCCAGGCCAAGGTAGTTGCTGGAAAGAGGACTTTTGTCTCTGCTTCTTTTGATTTGCAAAGTGAATGTCGCTGCAACATTACTCTATGCCATCCAGAACACACATCTCAAAGTCATCGCACACAATTTTCTGGAGAGTGGGCATTCCCACGTGGAATGCAATAGCATGCATTCTGCTATTGAAACAGAAAAAAAGAACATCAATGTCTTCACAATGCATGACTGGGTAAAACATCTTCCACAAATTAAGACGTCGGCTTCCATACAAGGTCATAAACATGTGCCATGGAGACTTTTATGATCTGAAAAATCTCTCACAGCAGATCATGAATAACAAACGCCTAGACGAAGATAGACACGTCTTCAACTGGCTACATGTAAAGAGCTTCCAATACAGGAAGGAAGAGCAAAGCACCATCTGCTACCATCTATAACTACTTGGATGACTACAAGAAGATAGATCATCAGTTCCACCTAACCTGGACCTTGTCTACCAAGAGAAGCATTTAAAAAAGCCTAAACCTTAAGAAGAAGGATCTCATCAACTTGTGCAATAGCCTAGCCATTCCTGAAGAGTTCCATGGATGGTATTTGGCACTCCCATTTTTTAAGTTTCTGACATTGACAGGGTCAAAAGGTCATGGCTTCCATGTATGATGTTTGACCAAGTATTATTTATAAGTTAATGGCATTAAACATAACTACTACACTTTGTCAGATTTTATGCTTGCAATCAAACTTTTAAATGCATTTTTACTCAAATGGCATATTTGGACATAGACAGTTGTGGTTTTAAGTCCTCGATCTATTATTTTATTTCTAATGTATTCTTTTGTTCTGGAATACATCAAGTTACTTTGAGAAACGTATCAAAGCAATTTGATATCAATTCATATCTCCCACTTATACATCTATTTACCTGTATTCACATTTCTGCTTGTACATGTATATATGCAATTGTAGCACTTTTTGATGATATGCGCATACTAATTGCTATGTAACACCTGACAGGTGTATCCAAATTCGATGAAAATGGTATCAAAATGTGCATAAGACTTGAGGAAAAGAATCGAAGAACAACAATGTAAAATTCCAAGCGGTTGCGGCGCTATCTCCAAAAATGCGGGGTGGGGGAGGGGGGGGGGGGCTCTTACGCCACCCCCCCCCCAAGTACAGTAAGGAGTAAATGACGTTAGCCATATAATTATAAATATGCATTTTTTAAGATGCTTACATATACATGTAAAGTGTTAAAGGGCAAGTTCACCCGAAAATAAGTTGATCTTCATACATGTAAAGTGTTAAAGGAGAAGTCCACCCCAAAAATAAGTTGGTCTTCATAAAAGCAGATAAATGAGAGAAACAAATCAATGAAATTTTGAGGAAAATCAAAAACAAATGAGAAAGTTATAAATTGTTGGAGTTGTAATCAGTGAAGCACAAATTGCAAACTGTGTGACATCACATGCGAGCTCATATCTCATTTGCTTTGTACAAAAAATATTTTGAAAAATTAATTTCCTCAGACGTTGATTAAATGAATACGATAACATTAGCATAAAACCAGTGATCAGTAATAACATCTATCTGAAAGATGAATAAGGGTAATGCTTTTCACCTACTAACAATACTGGTGAAGGTGATAGCAGTAGTAAAGGTAACGGAGACACTGATTATATTTAATATTAGCAGTGACAATGGAAATGTTTCATTTATATTACATTTTTTTATCACCATGTGTAGGTATTGAATATCTTCAAAATTTCTACCATTTCAGAAAACTTGGTTTAGTGAAGACTGGGTCTTGGCGAGTGTCTTTGATATGTTAAGGGAATTGAGGACAAATGATGGTGTAATACCGGAGTTGAAAGATGAGTATGAATATGACATAGTGCTCCGTGAGAAGTTGGTGAAGTCATGGGGGTTAGCCCAGGAAGCCTTAAAAGGTGCATGCTGCAGGAAAATACAAGAAGTATTAGGATATGAATGCTAGAAACAGGAAATTTAATAACGGAGATCAGGGTTTATCTTGCTTCCCACTGATCAGAACAAGTTGTTGCTGAAATGGAAGGGCCCATTCCCTGTGCTGGCGTAAAGTATGACTATGACTACATTGTCAGTGGTGTTCTTAAGAAATATCACATTAATCTTCTCAACAAATAATTTCTCAGGCAGAAGGTTAACTTGTCAGTGGCTGGCTGCTTTGATTTGTGTATAGAGAGTAGGAAGGTGTGTCAAGATTCTGCAGAAGATGCCGAGGATCAGTTTATATTGAAGGTAAATGTGGGTGCTGGGCTTATGCAGTAACATTCAGGAGAAGAATTCCTGATTGCTTATGCGAGTAACAAGTCATTACCACGGGTAGAAAATTACACAAAAAAGAAAAAAGTGCTTAGCAATAGTACGAGCAATCAAAAAGTTAAAATATTATTTGTATTGAATTGAAGTACACACAGACCACAAACCATTCTTCTATATTCAAGCGAAGAGGTTTGACAATAAGAGAATCATGAGATGGAGCATGATGCTCCAAGATTACAGGTTTCGGCTTGTATCGGTGAAGGTTCAGTATAATGTTACAGCAGATTATATGAGCAGAATGTAAAATGCACTATACTCATGGATTTCTTTTGTCTGTCTACCATTGTAAATTATTGGATGTGTATCACGGTTTAATAACATATTTTGTTAATGTCATTTGTTGAATACATATTGCATTTACCAGGATTATGTAATGTTGAGATTTATTTTATATTGATCTTCCCAGCCACAAATGTATACCCATCAAACTTTCTATGATAGCACATACAAAATTATTATCCTGAGCATATGTTTTGTAGAAATTCATGAAATCCACTACACAAGTTTGATATGAAGAAGAAAATATTACAGCAATATATACGCATTGTAGTTTATGCAAGTGCAGGAATATTACTCACTACATTTTGAACAGAAAAAACAGAAAGAGATGATAATTAGACAGCCACCTTATGTATCTAAATATATCAGAGAGGGCTTAATGATGCTGAACACAATGGGTTGTGCTCTTTAATGCTGGATAATTGTTTAATTTTGAGTCAAAGACATTGTCTTCAGGTGATGATGTGAACATTTGATAATCTCTACTTTGTATTAACAGGTTATATACAAACTCTATGGACATTGACGTATAGCCATGTTATAGGTTTTCAACTTTGTGCAGAATATGTCATACATATTTATACATGGATTGTTTTTATGCTAATTATCCCACAGCATGATATTGTTGTGCTATGTTGGCATTGTTTTTAGCAAAGGTTTTATTCAAAGGTGTTTGTAGACTTATAACCATGCTCAACCTTTTTCATGATATTAACGTTCTGAAGTACGGGTGCTATATAATATCATTTAAAACAAAAAATCAGATTATTGGAAACACGTTTTAGTAATTGCATTTAGAATTGCGTTTAGAATTGCATGTGCAGATTTCAACTCAAATACAAGAGAAATGTAATGTATCTAAGTCTCATGACTTGATAAAAGTAAGAATGTCATATTATTTATTGTACATTATAAAACTTAGTTGATTAAACCATAGGTTGAGAACTGAGATTTCTGGATATACAACTATATGTATATTGACTAGGATTGGTATTTAGTGATATGAGCTATGTTGTGTCATGATCTTCTGATATCATGTAATGGTTGATAAGATGAAGAATGTTATGTTTGACTTTAAAGGTTTACCTTGATAAAGCTTAAATGATAATTTATGTGCAGTAAAAATTGAAACAGTTTGTTCCAAACATTTTCATGAGATATGTAGTAATTGAGTGATTTGTGTATGTCGTACTGTTTTATAAGTATTTATCTAGGAATGTGAGAAGGAAGCTCAGTACCTAGGAATTATTTTTGAAAAGAATATTTTTGTTTATGGTAAAAGTTGTCATGATGACTTTCAATAAGATGATGACTTTAAATAGGAAGAATAGATTTTATTGACAAAAATTAAGGAACATCCAAAGACATAAAAGAGGGAGAACGAGAGCCAGAGGCTGAAAATGGGGAGGGTGAAAGAGTAGAGAAAAGGATCGAGAGACAGAGCAAGAGAAAAAGAGGGAGGCAGAGCAAGAGAGGGAGAGGGTGAAAGAGTAGAAAGAGAGATACAGAAATAGAGCAAGAGAAGGGAAGGGAAACAAAGCAGTAGAGAGGAGAAAGAATTAAGCGAGATGTGAGTAGATAGATATATAGAAAGAGAAATGTATTGACATGTAAACAATTCTTTGTCCGTGGGAGCTAGAGACGTAAACATTGCGTATACATGGGTGAATAACTGGCAATAACTCATCGTAGATAAAATTGTCATTTTATGTATTAATGCTTTTATAATTAACGCAGTCATGACAGGGAACATGGAAATTGTGAGTATTTTGAGAGCTGTTCTAAAGAATAAAGCTGATATTTTTTGCAACGAGAATATATTTTTGACGAGCCGAAGTCGTACAATCGCCGGGTTAGAGTTATGGTTAGGTTAGGGGTGGGTGTTTATAAAAGCATATTTAATACATAAAATGACAAATTTATCTAAGATGAGGGATTTTAGATCATGAAATCATGAGGAGAAAAAAAAGTTGATCGAGCTGTCCCCCGAAGCACCCCACCCTGGACAACTCGACCTGGTGTCCAGGGGCTTTGCGTCGGTGTTGTCTAGAATTCCAACTTACTCCACATAGACATTACACGTAAACGAAAAATAGGATTTTCAATTCACATCTTGTCGTTGGAATATCGCCATGATCCCAACATCTGATTTATAGAAAAAAAATGTGACCTTAAGTGTAGAGAATTTTCTCAGCTACAACATATTCGAAGCTTGCAGAAAATCGAGAAAAAATAATCGAGATATTGCTCAAACAAGACTAGAATGTCCTAATGCAGATTTCAGAAAAAGTCACCTCCAATAGGCATGACACGCAAACTAAGAAAATTCTGACATGTCGCATTCAATCAAAATTGTCACTGTGATGACGTCATCAAAGTGAAACATGGTGAGATATAAGGAGACGGAAGGAGACTGGGTATAGTCATGTAAAAATACATGAGATGGACCGAGGGATGAAAGAGAAATCAGAATGCATAGGCTACTTGGAAGGGGTGAAAAAAGAATACAAAGGGCAAAGGAAAGAGGTAAAGGAAATTAAGGAACATCCTATACGACATAAGAGGGAGAACGGGAGCCAAAGGCGGGAAAAGGAGAGCTGGCCGGTGAAAGAGTAGAGACAGATCGAGGGAGACATCAGCTAGAGCAGATCAAGAGGGAGGCAGAGCAAGAGAGGGAGAGGGTGAAAGCGTAGAGATAGATCGAGATATAGTAGTCGAAAAAGATGATAAAATCACTGATAAGAAACGAAAGCAAATTTTTAAAAAAATTACACCGGATATGGAAGTCGAGTGCTTTAACCAATATACCAAAATATGTCCCTTAGACAATACATGTAAAGCTGACAAACGGCCTTGGCATAGTCGCTATTTCAACTTTCAATTGAAAATTTCAACATGATTTCAACATCAGATCAAAAAACGGAAGGCACAGTTAAGATAGCTCATATTATCAGCTATAACATGCTTAAATTGTGGGGGAAATAGACCAAAAAACGATGAAGATATTGCTCGCGAAAGAGGGGAATATTGAATCCAGTTTTGAAAAAAAAAGTCATATAAAAATGTGAAAAATTGACAGGCCTCCTTTAATCGCAAAAATACGCCATGATTCCTTTGTCAAAATGAAATATCGTGTGGACTGCATTTGTAGAGAATTATCTCAGCTAGAACATATTAAAATTAGGAAGAAAATCAATTAAGTTTTACAGAGATACAATCGATTTTCAAAAATATGCTGACGTCATAATATGCAAATTGAAATTTTGAGTTCGGATGACGTCATGAGTTAATTGAGAGTCAAATAAGACATGAAATCATATCTCCGATTCATACTCTATCAAAATATGGAAAAAAAACTGATCTTGAGTTATCCTGTTAACAAAAAAGTGTGCAAATAAATAAAAATAAAGAACAAAAATAAACTACTTGATCATGATCATGATTTTCATGATGATGATAATGATAACCATGATGATGATCATGAGCGTGATCCTGACATCTGATTGAAAAAATGAGGGGACATTTAGATAGCATATATAGGCTCAGCTACAACATACACAAAAATCAACAAAAACCAAGCCGAAATAACGGCGATATTGCTCGCAAAAGATAAGAATGTAGAATCCAGATTTGAGAAAAAGTCATCTCCCATAAGGATTACACGCAAAAAGTAATGGATCAAGTGATAACAGGGTAATAATAAAGTAAATATGGTTGTTTATTACATTATTTGCAATTGTACGTGTTTTAATATTCAAAGGAGATGGTAGAGTGAAAGGTCAAAAAGAAAAAAAAAGTGAAGAAAAAAAAATTGTTGGAGACGCCCGGACTCGAACCAGGGACCTCGAGGTCGGAAGTCAAGTGCCTTACTGATATACCAAAACATTTCCCATAGAGATTACACGTAAACGGAAAATAGAATTTACAAATCCCACTTTGTAAGTGAAATATGAGCATGATCCCGGCATCTGACCAAAAAATAAAGGGCACAGTTATGATAGCTTATTGTCTCAGCTACAACATACTCAAAGCTCAGAGAAAATAAAGCTAAAAAAATGGAGATATTGCTCGCAAAAGACAGGATGTAGAATCCAGTTTTGAGAAAAAGTCATGTCCCATAGAGAATACACGCAAAATGTGAAAAATTGACATGCCACCTTTAATCGCAAAAATACGCCATGATACCTTTGTCAAAATGAAATATTGTGGCAACTGCATTTGTAGAAAATTGTCTCAGCTAGATCATATCAAAATTTGGAAGAAAATCAATCAATATTTACAGAGATACAGTCAATTTTCCAGAAAAATACTGACGTCATAATATGCAAATTGAAATTTTGAGTTGGGAGGCCATTATGATGACGTCATGAGTTAATTGAGGGTCAAATGAGACATTAAATCATATTTCCAATTCATACTCTATCAAAATATGGAGAAAAAAATTGGGTTCACTTTGCATCCTAAAGTGCTATAATGGATTTTGTATAGGCATGTTTTTGCCCATGTATGCTATGTATTACAAGAGCTCGCACGCACGGAAATTATCTTAAACGGACGCTCATTCCGTTATTAATGGTCAGAAAAAGGTGAACAAGGTATCAAAATGCTTGGAAAAATGCGTCAAATATGATGACAGAAAAAAATTGGCGATTCTATGTAGGAAAAAGCAATTACGCGCGAAAACGCGCGCGCATGTGCGTGCGCGCGTTTTTTGCAAAATGCTTAAAATGGCCTAAAACGTATGCAAAAAAAATTTGAGACGATTTTGAGCATTTTTATTTTTTGCGCGCGCGGTGACGCGCGGACGTACGCATGCGCGCGCGTTTTCTGACCTGAAATTGACCGGACGGATATTGACCTTAATCGTGATAAATATGAATGAGAAATGCCTTTCCGTTATGAAGATATGATCATGAGTAAAAAGTACCAAAAAAACACAAAATGGCGCCTGGATGACGTCATGAAAACTTGATGACCTTGAAAATGTTACTCTAACGTCTCATGACAATGACCTATGACTGTGCCAAAATTGAACGAAATTGACTAAACTGATCTTGAGTTATCCTGTTAACAAAAAAGTGTGAAAATAAATAAAAATAAATAATAATAATAATAATAACTAGAAATTTAATTCGTCATGGTGACGAATTAGGTGGTCTGTCTTCAATTCTTATGATCATGCTCATCTTCAATTTAATTACCCCATGAAATTATGTTAATCTAAAATGATGTATTTATTGTATTACGATATGAATTGATGAATGAAGTACTGATAAACTCATGAACTGATAAATTGAACTGATGTAAAATGAACTGAATTGATGAGCTAAACGGATGAACTGATGAACTGAACTAAACTGATGAGCTGAACTGATGAACGAAATATTGAGCAATTATGACGATGCATAATTAAGTAATATTGACTGCCTTCTGGGCAATATGACGTATATCGCCTGAACCTAAGGTGAGGATGATATATGGCAAGTCGTATTGCCCTGAATTAGGCAGTAAATATTACTATTATTAACGACATCAGATATCTAGAGCAAACAAGAAACTTTTACTATCTTATACTATCTTATCAATTATAAATTACTATCTTATAAATTATGTAGCCTACACTCCACAGGATTTCCTAGCATTAGAAGTTGCAAAAACATCGTCAAACAAGCACTGTGCATCCAGTGCTTGACGAATTTTCGATACACTGCAAATAGTGTGCCAAGGGTCTGATTGTGACGTCACAATAGAGTTCGTGCATGGTGCGCATTACATTGCCATTGTCACCAGCAGCTGGTGCGCGATGTTATTTACAACTGGCTCGATTATTTCTCACGAGTTTGACACGCAAAAAAATGTGGGGTCAACTTGCATCCTAAAGAGCTATAATGTATTTCGTATAGGCATGTTTTTGACCATATATGCTATGTATTACAAGAGCTCGCACGCACAGACATTTACCTTAAACGGACGCTCATTTCGTTATTAATGGTCATAAAGAGATAAACATGGTATCAAATTGTTCGGAAAAAAATGGGCAATACTATGATAGACAAAAAATGACGATTTTAGTTTGCGTTCGATCATTACGAACAAAAACGTGCGCGCAAATTTATGCGCGCGCAAAGGTGTGCGCACGCAAAATTTTCGAAATGC